GTAAGAAAGTGCGAGAACGAGTTGCAGATACATACACACACACAATGGGCCTGGTGGCTGAGTGGACAGCGCTCGGAATTCGTAGTCCTAGTGATCCGGGATCGATCCCTGGGGATGGTGGAATCAAATGGGCAGTTTCTCTCACCCTGATGCTCTTGTTACCTAGCAGTAAATAGGTACCTGGGAGTTAGACAGCTGCTACGGACGGCATCCTGGGGATGTATTTTCCTAGTTGTATTCACCTAGTTGTGCTTGCGGGGGTTGAGCTACGCTCTTTCAGCCCGCCTCTCCACTATCAATCAATCAACTATTACTAACTACTGTTTTCTTTTTTTTCACACACACACGCACACCCAGGAAGCAGCCCGAAACAGCTGGCAAACTCCCAGGTACCTGTTTACTGCTAGGTAACAGGGGCATCAGGGTGAAAGAAACTCTGCTCATTTTTGTTTCTCGCCGGTGCCGGGAATCGAACCCGGGCCACAGGATGACGTGCCCAGCATGTTTTCCACACAGCCACCGGCGCCCACCACACACAGTGTGTGTGTGTGGCGTGCGTGTGTAAGAGAACTATATGTAGTAGACATAATAGAGGAAAAATTTATTGGTTAGAAAGGTGGGGTGCAAGAGCTAGTTGCTCGGTTCTGCAGATACAAATAATAAAACCAAACATACGCACACAAGACAGTACGGACGAGACGAGTTAGAGTACAATGACAACGACATGTAAGATCCTCAGAAGCAAAAACAAGTAGAAAAGGATGACCTGTTCAGCCAATGAATCATCAGAATGAGAGGCCATGGATGAAGCTACACTCAGATAAGCCATAGGAATGTAAAGAAATATTTATATTTAATATTTAAATATTTGGACTTAGAAAAATTAGAAAATGTAATTAAAAAGTTTGTTGATGGTAATACCCCACCATAGACTGAACTGTAAATTGTATAAAACTCTAGTGCAGTAAACGACTCAGGATTATAAGATCCATAGAAGAAGAGGCTGGACCCTAGTGCTTATGGTTGATCCGGCAAATACAATTAGGTGAGTACACACCGGTATTGTGAGTCCTTCACATGACGTGAAGGACTCACTCGAGCTTCCACTTTCGTCCTGGCTCAAGGCAAGACAATTTACTTCCATTCAAATTCAACAAAATTATTAGACAGAAGAAGCATAAAAAAAAGTTAACGGAGGAGAAGAAGAAGAAGAAGAAGAAGAACAAAAACAACGCTAACAACAACATCAACAACAACAGCATAAAAAACAACAACAGTAGCAGCAACATCAACAACAACAACAACAACAAAAGCAATAAGAAAATAAAAAAAACATAAAAAACAACAACAGCAGCAGCAGCAGCATTAACAACAACGCCAAAAGCAATAACATCAACAACACCAAAAACAACAACAACATCAACAACAACAACAGCAACATCAACAACATCACACCACTTACTCCCTGGTACTATATCAAAGGCTTTCTGGCAGTCTCGAAATACGCGAGCTGATAAACCCTCTCTTACTCCTGCCTTATTTTCGTTACCTTATCAGAGTACTTCAGAAGGTTCGACAGGCATGATTTCCTTTCTCTAAAGCCATGTTGATGTTTGTTTACATGCCTGATTTTCTCCAGGCGTGTAACTAGTCTTATCCTGATTATTCTTTTGAGTACTTTGCAATGGATGCTTTTAAGTGATACTGGTCTGTAGTTAGGTGTCGCTTCTCGGTCTCCTTTCTTGAAAATTAGTACCAAATATACCTTCTTTCAACAGCCAGGCAAATCTCCTTTCGTCATTATTTTTAAAGATCATTGCTAGAGGTACAGCTTAGGGGTTGTGCTGCTTCTTTTAACATCCAAGGTGATACGTTGTCTGGTCCAACAGCTTTAGTTTCGTCCAGTGATGCTAATTCTTTCTTGACTCCCTTTGCTGTCAGTTTCTCGTCCAGTGATCGTCTCCTAACACTGGGAGCTACTCAGGCTTTGATGTGAACACTCCATGGAAATTGGGGGTTCAGTACTTCAAAAATATCTTTATCACTTTCTGTATATTCCCCTCTCGTTTTGGGTAGTTCTCCCACTTGATCGTTTCCTATCACTTTCCTTCTTATATGAGAATAGTTTGGGCTGTTTCTTTGCTGAAAAAGCAATGTCATTCGTAATTTTGTTCTGATACTCTTCCTATATTTATGTATTCGTTCCTAGCTCTGTTGCATTTATTTTTGTTTTCCTTTTTCCTTTGTCCTCTGCATTTCCTCCATTCCCTCCTGGTCTTCGTTTTCTCTTTATAACACTGCCTATTGAACAATAGGTTATTATAGTCTCTTCTACACTCCCCTTATTGTTGGTCTGAACAACCCATCCTCCTGTATTTAAAGTACATTTTGTAACTATTTGGACCATCGTACATACATAGATGTAGTGGCCAATTAGATAGTAGAATTTGGTACTATTCACTTTACAGAGTCAAACAAAATAAAGTTAAACACCAAACTGAAATATTCCTAGGTCTAGTATATAGAATATATATATATATATATATATATATATATATATATATATATATATATATATATATATATATATATATATATATATATATATATATATATATATATATATATATATATGTACTATATTAGTGCTCATATAACGTGTATCAGGCATAGCAAGGTAAAGTTAGTTTAAGTGTTCTTTACAACATCAGTACTTTTCCCGTTTGTCCAAATTCAATAGTACCGGATACCCAACAGAGTAGGAAACTTCGGTACCGTAATCATTGCCACAGTGAGTGAAGTTGTGCATATCACAATCATTGCCACAATGTGGGAAGTTGTGCACATGCATGTGCATGTGCAAGTTGTGTTATTACTGCCACAGCTGGTGTGGATATTACTGCCACGGCTGGTGTTGTTATTACTGCCACAGCTGGTGTTGTTATTACTGCCACAGTGTGTGGTTATTGTGCCACAGCTGGTGTGATATACTGCCACAGCTGGTGTTGTTATTACTGCCACAGCTGGTGTGGATACTTACTGTTACGGCTGCCACAGTGGTGTTGTTACTGCCACAGCTGGTGTTGTTACTGCCACAGCTGGTGTTGTTTACTGCCACAGCTGGTGTTGTTATTACTGCCACAGCTGGTGTTGATATTACTGCCACAGCTGGTGTTGTTATTACTGCCACAGCTGGTGTTGATATTACTGCCACAGCTGGTGTTGTTATTACTGCCACAGCTGGGTGTTATTACTGCCACAGCTGGTGTTGTTATTACTGCCACAGCTGGTGTTATTACTGCCACAGCTGGTGTTATTACTGCCACAGCTGGTGTTGTTACTGCCACAGCTGGTGTTGTTACTGCCACAGCTGGTGTTGTTATTACTGCCACAGCTGGTGTTGTTATTACTGCCACAGCTGGTGTTGATATTACTGCCACAGCTGGTGTTGTTATTACTGCCACAGCTGGTGTTGATATTACTGCCACAGCTGGTGTTGTTATTACTGCCACAGCTGGTGTTGTTATTACTGCCACAGCTGGTGTTGTTATTACTGCCACAGCTGGTGTTGTTACTGCTACAGCTGGTGTTGTTACTGCCACAGCTGGTGTTATTACTGCCACAGCTGGTGTTGTTACTGCCACAGCTGGTGTTGTTACTGCCACAGCTGGTGCTATTACTGCCACAGCTGGTGTTGTTATTACTGCCACAGCTGGTGTTGTTATTACTGCCACAGCTGGTGTTGTTATTACTGTCACAGCTGGTGTTATTACTGCCACAGCTGGTGTTGTTACTGCCACAGCTGGTGCTATTACTGCCACAGCTGGTGTTGTTATTACTGCCACAGCTGGTGTTGTTATTACTGTCACAGCTGGTGTTGTTATTTCTGCCACAGCTGGTGTAATTACTGCCTCAGCTGGTGTTGTTATTACTGTCTCAGCTGGTGTTGTTGTTACTGCCACAGATAGTGTTATTACTGTCTCAGCTGGTGTTGTTGTTACTGCCACAGCTGGTGTTGCTATTACTGCCACAGCTGGTGTTGTTATTACTGTCTCAGCTGGTGTTGTTGTTACTGCCACAGCTGGTGTTGTTATTACTGCCACAGCTGGTGTTGTGTGGGCCTCAAATGTTCTCTCTGTCCTTGGTCACGTAAAGTTTATTTTTAGCTCTTATATTAGATCTATTGTACCACCAACTGTTATCTATTTCATTGCCTCAGGTGTTCTGGACGACTTCCTAACAATTTATCCAAAATTTGCTTGTCCATTTTAAAGAATGATGAACAATTTTCATTTATATTACTTCTAAGCCGCATTACTTATGAACCCATCCCTGCCCTTGTGTGGCAGTGCCCAATAAAGATGTTGTTTTCACATATCCATACATTAAAACATTGATTGTAACCATGATATATATGTGCTTCAGCCTACAGTTTAGACGTATTGTCTTGTGTATGACCCTCTGTCCTGCGTGACAGTGAATACCAGCATTGTCCTCACTTTAATAAGACTTAATTGAAATCCTCAGATTAGGCAAACTTGTAATTAATTTTGTCAATAAAGATGTTAATAATAATATATCTAAATAATCAGTAGGGAGCAGCCCCTGCTAGTCAGTCCGCTCCTTCCTTCTGCTCTTTACCTCCTTAAGGCTTTCTGCTATTCTCCAGGAATGACATCATGCAGTAGAAATAGAGGGAGAAAAAAAAATCGCTATTTGCCAAGTCAAACCCGCTTAGCAACTGAAGATGCGTCTTAACTCAATCTTACCCCCCACCCCCTTTTGTCCCGGAGGTGTGTGTGTGTGTGTGTGTGTGTGTGTGTGTATGTGAGAGGGGTCGGAGTGTAAAGGTGTGTCGAGAGGGAAGAGAGAACCTAGGTATTGAGGGGAGGGTAAGGGGGAGGAGAAGAAGAGGGAGGTACATAACCAAGCTGGAAGGAGGACTTAGGTAGCGGTGGGGGTAAGGGGGGTTGGGATGACGGGGGGTTGGTTGGTTGCAGGGAGTGTATATGAGATACCCTGATGGGTCCCGGGTATATATAGCCTGTCTCCGGCCTCCGCCAGACACACACGCTTCCATCTCCACTTCACAGCCAACATGAAGCTCGTGAGTATCCAGCCAGGTCCCTCTCAGACTTCCAAATCTGACTTGCATATATATTGACGTTTCCGTCACATCTTGATTTCCGTTTCGAATGACGTTTTCCATCCATTCTCACGGATCTTAAATATTATGGGGTGGAGGGGATGGGGGTGGAGTTTATGGGTGATTTTGTTAGCCATGAAATGACTTTGTGTTGTATTAGAGCTCCTGGGAGGTTTTATGACTCTGTGTCTAATATGGAAAAAAGTCAAATGAATGAGTCAGTCATAGGGTTTAATGAGTATTTGCTTTGATATATTTTAGACAGTACCTCATATGTATCAGAACCAAGGGTGTCACAGGACAATAGCATTACAAAGATGAGATTTTAAGACATAATTTTATTGAAACATGCCTTATTTTATGTAATTTGACACCTAGTGCGTTTTATCTTAATGAACGACAATCAGAAATGACCATCACTTCTCTCTCTCTCTCTCTCTCTCTCTCTCTCTCTCTCTCTCTCTCCTCTCTCTCTCTCTCTCTCTCTCTCTCTCTCTCTCTCTCTCTCTCTCTCTCTCTCTCTCTCTCTCTCTCTCTCTCTCTCTCTCTCTCTCTCTCTCTCTCTCTCTCTCTCTCTCTCTCTCTCTCTCTCTCTCTCTCTCTCTCTCTCTCTCTCTCTCTCTCTCTCTCTCTCTCTCTCTCTCTCCCCAATTGCTCACTCCCTCCCTCCCCTCTTCCTCTCTCTACCCTCTGTCTTCATCTACAGGTCCTCTTCGCCTGCCTGGTGGCCTGCGCCGTGGCTCGCCCCCAAGACAAGAACGCCCAGACCCTCCGTAGCGAGAACATCAACGAAGGAGACGGCAACTTCAAATACTCCTTTGAGACAGACACTGGCATCAGCGTGGCGGCCGTCGGCACCCCGGGCTCTGAACAACAGAGCAACATTGATGGGAATTTCAAGTGAGTTGGAAATTCAGAAGAACTTCTGTCTCCTGTTTTAAGCAAGATGATCGCCAGAAATGTTTTTGTTGATTATTTTAGTGATGCATTATCTTTTCGACCGTCACACATGGCCTGTGTGGAACAGGCCCACCTCACCTACCTCATATACCCACCACTACTGTGAATTTCACCCTTGCGTCCCAAGTAAGCAGCTAGCTCCTAGAACGTAATTAAAGCATCTTCCCGTGTTGCAGGTTCCCCTTGGGTGACGGGTCCTATCTGGAGGTGACCTACGTCGCAGACGAGAATGGCTACCGTCCACAGCTCAAGTTCACCCGCTCATAAGCTGATCAAGCCAGCGACCCCCACACGTGTAAACAACCCACGCGCCCACACCAACATGGCTACCACACCTGATCCCCCCCCCCCTACACACGCCCACGAACGCTCTAACCTATCTCTCTTCTTCCTCCTTTCTTTATCTCCACCTACTCCTCCTTCACCTCTTACAATATTGTTATTTTTCTAGACGTCACAAATCTACACTCCCTCCCTGACATCTTAGCAGCATTCATCTTCACTCTATCCTTCAAACATCCTCCCACACCAAACATTTTCACTTCCTCCCTCTTTCTCTCTCTTCCCCCACAATCAAATACCCCCCCCTATTTCCCTCCTACAAAGTCTTTCAGACCCCCTCCCCACCCCAGCTTCCCCTCCCCATCTCTCTCTCTCTTCCCCCAATCTCTCTCTCTCCCCCCAATCTCTCTCTCTCCCCCCAATCTCTCTCTCTCTCTCACCTGACCTACCCTGAGCCCCACTCCCTCCCCTTAATACTGTACATAAATTATACTGGCTGCAGCTTGGGATTCGCCGTCTCGCAGATTACTGGAACCTCCATCCAGTCCTGTTTATTTTGTTATCTTGTGTAGTAAATGCTCCTGAGAAAACACCATCACGCGTTTGCTTCTCTCCCCCTTCTTTTGCCCTCTTCTCCCCCTCTGTTGTTTGTTCTTCTCCCCTCTCCACGACCCTTTTGAGCGTCGAGACTGTGTGTGTGTGTGTGTGTGTGTGTGTGTGTGTGTGTGTGTGTGTGTGTGTGTGTGTGTGTGTGTGTGTGTGTGTGTGTGTGTGTGTGTGTGTGTGTGTGTGTGTGTGTAGGTGAAACAAACTTATAGTTATCAGCAATAACAAAAACAGCAATGATTATAACAATCAAATCATGAAAACTATTACAATGATAATGCAAATAATAATTCTTCATAACACTACTATTATTATTAATTGTATTATTATTATTATTATTATTATTATCATATTGCGTCAACAAAAGACCATACACAAGGGCGCCAACGCGGAGGACACAAGTAAACAATAGTCATCTTATGTACAGTAGCTAACTACCCATTTTGTGGTAGTTAACTCACCACCCATTACCACCCATTTTAAAGGAGATATTCGCTATATTGTCTAACAAACACCTGGTAAAATTTGGCGTATTTTTACATTATACTTTCTTTATTCGTATAAACCTCCTCCTGAGAAGTCTAACTCATTTGCTACGACGACGGCGAGGTTTCATGTGTTTTACACGAGGCGACCGTGACGAGGACGGTCTTACCTCCTCCAGGAGCAGGAGTGAAGCACTTGTTAAAGGAAAATAATATTATTAAAAACAACATTTACCACACAAAAATCCCTGTAACGTGATATATATATATATATATATATATATATATATATATATATATATATATATATATATATATATATATATATATATATATATATATATATATATATATATATATATATATATATATATATATATATATATATAGGAGCCGTGATGCAGGTTCGAACCTATGCGCGTCTGGGAATACTAAGCGCCTAGGTTCAAATCCTCTTCACAGCTCCTGTGAATTTTCACATTAACTATGTTGCAAGGTATTGCTGCTTTCTAACACGTGACATCTCTTGCTCTTTCACGTTGCATCAAAGTTTGGAGCAAATGACTGATAGCTACAGCAACCTTGGGTAATGAATTCACGGGTGTATTAATAATTTGAAAATGAAACTGAGATGTGTTAATGATCATTACAGAAAAGAGAAATGTTTAAAGGCATGTGTGCTTCCAAACATCAACATTATCTTCGAGACAAAAGACTTGCTCCTGAGATCATTTGGTGCCAGGTATTGATCAAATGAGTCAACAACAGCACTCGACAACTTTTCCTCAAAACAGAGCCACTTTGTACCTATTATTTATGGCTGAAGAAATTCTGGTAATTTATTAACACCGATGAGAATGGGTTCCAAATACTTTATTGACCATTCTTGAGATATATATAAAGGAAATAAATCTTTCATGGAGCTCATTCATGAGGTGTGTTTGACAAAGATTTCATGGGTGGAAAGTGTGGAAGATTATTGTCTGCAATTAGTTTAATAAAAGAATTTCATCACAAAGACATGAACACAGTCATAAAATGATCTCACTAATATATTGTGCATCCTTCCATCTTCGAGTTCAGGTAATTTCGAAGCTCTGTGACATCCAGCATGATAACTCAATCACGTATATCCCTTCATTATCTTTGAGTTCGTGCACATGCTTTCCTCTCTGCTCCATGAGAGTTAATATTTCATCAGGCGGGCCATCACAGCCTCCAGACTCTACCATCCAACATCAGTGTGATATGGCAGTCAGTGAAGGTTCTAATTTTTTCCCTTCCAAATGGCACTTGAACTGCCTGCTTAACACATCATGCTTGTGTAAAGTTCATTGTCGTGATGGCGACATTCATGACATTATCCAGCTTTTTATGTTTTAGTGCACAACACTTGGTCAATAAATAATATAATGGAAATTGCGAGATATATGTTTGGCGTTGACAGGAAGTACATTGTGTTCTTTAATTAAGAAACCACACCAGATAAACTGTCATCCACTCGTGGAAGTGGAAATAAACATGCTATTCGCCTGGGCTCTAGGAGACTCGAACCGTGGACAATGTGGACTGTATCGAACCGTCGATAGAGCTTCGGCCTCGCTCACATGTGGGGACCACGGTTCGAATCTCCTAGAGCCCAGGTGAATGGAAAGTCACACCAGCTTTTTTATTTATAATTTACTAGGCTCCACTGTAGCCTCACAGTCTCGCAGCTATTGTCCAATAAGCACCCAATTTGGCAAGCGTTCCGCTTGCCAAATTGGGTGTTTATTGGTGGTGACCAATCACCACAATCAAACTTATCAAGTATTCATCATCTGTTGTTGCTTTTCTTGTTGATGTTAATTTCACAATTTTCTGTGCCCTGCATACTTTTACCAGCACCGTGAATGAAAATTGCAAGTTATGCTTAATCAGTTACAGTTGTATTTTCGTCATTTGCAAATAAAAAATACAGTAGTCGTCTTTACTTTCTCGAAGATTGATTATTTAAATCAAATTTTTACATTTAATAAATTAAAATCAAATGTTATCATTTTATTATTTTCAAACTCGTCCTGAGGCCATCTTTGAGTCGTAAATAACTGATATAGACTGTGCTGGCATTCACCAACATCTCTCAATATGGGACCTACAGACAGCTTCCATTGAATAGCCTTAGTAGAGTACTCAGTCAATACATATCAATACTTTGAACCTTAAACCGTATTTTTGGTTGGGTGCTCAAGGTACTGTGTATCGCGGGCCTTAAATAGACCCGAGGACCGTATGGTGACGACACAGTAATAGGCTTTCTTTATTTTTGTCTCTCTCTTGAAAACACTCACACATCGTATCCATATTTTTTTTTTTAGCTATTGATGTTCTTAAGGTTAGGTTAGGTTTGGTTGTGTTAGGTGTTGTTTGGCTAGGTAAGCTGGGATAGGTTTGGTCAGGTTCGACTAAGATTTGTTGGTTAGGGTTGATTGAATAGACAAGAATTCAACATGAGTTAAGTTAAGTTTGATTAGGATAGGTAATGTTAGGTTTTGTCTGGTTAGTTTGGTTGAGTAAGGACAAATTTGGTTGGTTTAGAGTATGATTAGTTGGGTTAGCTAGCTACAAATGTTCGAAAATCAGTTGCGATCACCTTATTAATGCTTCATAACCTTCTGATTTGCTCTAGGAACAGGTAAACTTCAGTTGAAGCTTGTGAAAGAAAACGGACGCTGAAATGTGCTGAGTTCTCCCGTAGACATCATACTAAACTCGAGAAAATTTTACAGAAAATGGATTATCATCAACTTAGAAAAATGGTAAGATTGTTAATATTATCGCTTTCTTAAAAAAAATAGGATTGTGATATTTTTTAAATACTTTAAACGTTGAAATTAGACACACAACGTGTATTGCCTCTTCCACAAGAAGGAAAATGGGAATATTACATTATAATTTTTCCTTAAAACTTCCGGAAAATTTGAATAACTGGGAAATGAGGCGTCTGGAAATATCTCACACCTCCAGACCCTTCATGCGTTCATTTCCCTTCCTCACCCACAAGAATCCTTCCCTTCTGCCCCTTCCCTTCCTTCCTATGCCCTTCCCTCCCTCCTGGAAACCTCATTATAATCCTCCCAAGACTGGGTGCTGCATCAGATTGTACACTACGCAGCATAATTGATGGAGAGAGGTAACCTAGCGTGGACACCTTGCGGTTAGCGAGGAAGTGGTCGCTTGTTCCTGTCGACACAACGTTTGGGAATTGTTGGGAGGGGTAAAGACTGGGAGGAAGGTGGTGAGAGGGAAGGGAGGATGTGAGAAATCTCCCTTTGTTCTCCCTCAACCCCCCACCCCAGCCCCTTCGTCCCTCCACCACCATGGCAGCCTTGAACCCCCTCAACCTCCTGTTTTGCTCACGCACTCAGAGGAGTCATCCTTCTGCGACGCTGTTGGGTGAGTCAAGTACCTGCTGGGTCCTGAGTGCGTGGTTACACTCGTACTCAAGTGTAAGAATGATGTGTGCGTATGATCATGCACTTGCAGATATATACGTATGTATCCTCACAGCTGGTCACATAGTTTCATGTTTCTCAGGGTTGTATACATTGGCTGTAAGACCCACAGTATTATTGGTCGGGTAATGTTGGCCTTCGCCCACGACCATCACTCTCCACCTTCATGCACCACCATCATCACCACCACCACTCACCACCACCACCACCACCACTCTCCACCATCACCACTCAACACCAGTCCCTATCACCACCTTTAGCACATCTCTCCATCACTATTTCTTAACACAAGCACCTTTCACCACCACCATCACTCAACAGCAGCACCATTCACCATCCACCATCAACACCACTACCACTCACCACTAACACCATAACACCCTAATTCGTGAATATCACTCAACTCACCAATAACTCATTCCCTCTCTTCCTACCACTCTGTCTCACAGACTCTCTCTCTCTCTCTCTCTCTCTCTCTCTCTCTCTCTCTCTCTCTCTCTCTCTCTCTCTCTCTCTCTCTCTCTCTCTCTCTCTCTCTCTCTCTCTCTCTCTCTCTCTCTCTCCCTCTCTCTCTCTCTCTCTCTCTCTCTCTCTCTCTCTCTCTCTTTCTCTCTCCTCATTCTTCTCTCCTCCCTCCTTCCCGTCCTGCGTCCTCTCCCACTGACCTCACCAGCCCTTTCCTCACCCTCCTCGGCTTGTCATCACACTCCAAAATATTCATGTTTGTCGAGCGTGCTGTCCAAACGAGGGAGGCGATAGATGTGTGGTGTTTGCATGCCTTTAAAAATAACCTTTTTTATTTTACTTTGGAATAGGTGATTAGACTTTGGATTGGACGCTTGCAGCTTGGATTAGGCGATAGAACTTTGGATTGGACGCTTATAGCTTGGATTAGGCGATTAGACTTTGGATTGGACGCTTAGAGTTTGGATTAGGAGATAGAACTTTCGATTGGACGCTTAGAGCTTGGATTAGGCGATAGAACTTTAGATTGGATGCTTATAGCTTGGATTAGGTGATAAAACTTTGGATTGGATGTTTTATGACCTTGGATTAGACGATAGAACTTTGGATTGGACGCTTAGAGCTTGGATTAGGCGATAGAACTTTGGATTAGACGCTTAGAGCTTGGATTAGGCGATAGAACTTTGGATTGGACGATTAGAGTTTGGATTAGGCTATAGAACTTAGGATTGGGCGCTTAGAGCTTGGATTAGGCGATAGACCTTTGGATTGGACACTTAGAGCTTGGATTAGGCGATAGAACTTTGGATTGGACGCTTAAAGCTTGGATTAGGCGATAGAACTTTGAATTGGACGCTTAAAGCTTGGATTTAGGCGATTAGACTTTTGGATTGGACGCTTAGAACTTGGATTAGGAGATAGAACTTTGGATTGGACGCTTAGAGCATGGATTGGGTGATAGAACTTTGGATTGGACGTTTAGAGCTAGGATTAGGCAATAGAACTTTGGATTGGACGCTTAGAGCTTGGATTAGGCGATAGAACTTTGGATTGGACGCTTAGAGCTTGGATTAGGTGATTGAACTTTGGATTTGACGTTTTAAGAGCTTGGATTAGGCGATAGAACTTTGGATTTGACGTTTTAAGAGCTTGGATTAGGCGATAGAACTATGGATAGGACGATTAGAGTTTGGATTAGGCGATAGAACTTTTTTTGACGCTTAGAGCTTGGATTTAGGCCATAGAACTTTGGATTGGACGATTAGAGTTTGGATTAGGCGATAGAGCTTTTGATTGGACGCTTAGAGCTTGGATTAGGAGATAGAACTTTGGATTGGACGATTAGAGCTGGGATTGGGCGATTAGATTTGACGATTGAACTTTACAAAAGATTGAAGAGAAAGGTAATTATCTTATCAATATCTTCATTAACAGCTCATTCATGAAGCATCCAAACTCTCCCTCCGCCGGAACTTTACTTTATGTGACCCATACCTTTACCTTGCGGTTACCTTGCGATGATTCCGGGGCTCAACGTCTCCGCGGCCCGGTCCTCGACCAGGCCTCCTCGTTAAACTTAACGTACTTAATATTTCCGTGGGCCATCAAGGCTGGCCCGCCTGTACCCTGCAAACGAGCAGCAACTTTTCCTGTACCAGCCCAAGATCGGTAACACCTGAAGCAGAGAATTCAGGTTACGGACGCGTGAATACGCATCTTCGGGTCCTGGCACTTGTCCACCGACAAATACACACACACTTCAAGTGTCTCTCTACCGTCTCTCACACATTTCAAGTGTCCCTCGACCGTCTCACACACTCTTCAAGTGTCTCTCTACCGTCTCTCAACACTTCAAGTGTCCCTCCACCGTCTCACACACTCTGTAAGTGTCTTTCTATCGACAGGCGTCTCAACTGTCTCCTATGCCCACTCTAGCAAGATGTGCAGTTCCTTTAGCACAGAAAAATGTACAAAACTTCTGATTAAGGCATTGTCTGGACTGGAATCCCTAGAGAGCACAAGTAGAACACTGGAACTACTACAGAACACATTCTTTACAGTGGAACTACTAGTGAACACAAGTAGAACACTAGGACTACTAGAGAATGCAGGTTGACACGAACTACTAGAAAACACAAGATAGACAATCGAACAGAACTATAGAATACAAATTGACACTGAAAAGAACAGGTGGTCACATTCAGTCACTGAACAGAACAAGTGGACACATTCAGTCACTGAACAGAACAAGTGGACATAAAGAAAACGAACACAGCAAGAGGGAACAGATGAACACTGCAACAGCAAGAGCGTACACAGTCCACTGGGAGAGAACACGAAAGAACTTAGACAATGGAACATCACTTACATGATGTTTGTAACCGAGTACACAACACTGGCATGGTAAACCCCCCCCCCACACACACAGAACAATAATCATCTGGAGGAAACATCTATAACTTTTTCGGATTTTACTATGAAAATGCCATAAACTTTTCATCTGGAACTTCTCTTACTCCTCCTCATTCTCCTCCTCTTCTTGGGGTGAACGGGAGAGCGACGGTCTCGTTTTATGCAGGTCGGCGTTCAGTCCCCGACCATCCAAGTGGTTGGGCACCATTCTTCCGCCCCCCCCGTCCCATCCCAAATCCTTATCCTGACCCCTTTCCAAGGGCAGTATAGTCGTAATGACTTGGCGCTTTCCCCCTGATAGTTCCCTTCCGTCCTCCTCCTCCTCCTCCTCCTCCTCCTCCTTGCCTCTGGTATTACAGACGACAGTGGTCAAAGGGCAGACATAACGCAGCTTCTACACGGCTCCTCGGGGATCAGCTTGCGAGAGAATGTTAGAGTGACGCTGGCCGGCCTTGAGCCCTTGCCCGGGGGGAGGGCCCTCGCCGCCACCAGTCGTATGGGAAGGGAAAAGTCACCCGGTATCTCACTACACCTTTTATCTTACTGTCTGAGTTGATCCGATTTATTGAGGAAATATTTGTTTGTGTCATTTTGATGGTTTGGCATAATTTCTTGCACTACCAAGTACCATACACGCACAGACTGCGTCACAATAACAAGGCTGACACTACTAACTCTACTTCCGTTTTTAATTATTATTATTATTATTATTATTATTATTATTATTATTATTATTATTATTATTTTTTACTGTAATTCACCAAACAACGTTGGCAGTTATTTTAGGAATTATCAGCCAACATATTAAGTTAATTCATGGCAAATATATATAATGAAGACTAAGCCTAATAATTATTATATTATACCTATAAGAAAGAATATAAATTGTCATCCACACTTCTGTGGAAATAAACATTCCATTCACCTGGGCTGTATGGGTCTCGAACCGTGGACCCCACGCACGTGGAAACCTTCCTTTTTAAGACTACTCATAGCCCAGTCGATAGAGCTTCGAACCCACACACGTGTGATCTACGGTTCGAGACCCATACAGCCCAGGGGCCAGATTCACGAAAGCACTTACGCAAGTACTTACGAACGAGTACATCTTTCCTCAATCTTTGACGGCTTTGGTTACATTTATTAAACAGTTTACGAGCATGAAAACTTCCCATTCAACTGTTGTTATTGTTATAAACAGCCTCCTGGTGCTTCGGAGCTCATTAACTGTTTAATAATTGGAAACAAAGCCGCCAAAGATTGAGAAAAGATGTACAGGGTCGTAAGTGCTTGCGTAAGTGCTTTCGTGAATCTGGCCCCTGGTGAATGGAATATAAGAGAGAATGTTTGTTTATCTGTCCAAAGTTGGAAGTCAAACTTTTACACTTAACCTCACATAAATTTCCACGATGAATTGTGATTATATGCTGAGTTGGGTGACATGGGTTGATCCTAATTCCCCTCCTAAAGTAGGATTGTATCCTATTGCGACAACCAACGACCCTTATGAATTTTCAAATGTGGGGTTTGATTTTCCTTTGAGTGTTACCAAGAGACTTTGAGCTATGTTTATGGGCAGTACAAAACGTCCACCAGACTGTGCGACACAGTGGTTGCCAGGATCAGGTTGGGTTACGTTACCTGTGGCAGGTGGCTACTATCGGGAAAAAACGGGTAGATAATATTGCTGCTGACTTTGTTCTTATAAATTAAACAAAATGTATTAGATATTCATCCAAAGAAAACGAGAGTGCAGAGGAAATTTCCTCGGAAAAAAAACAGGGATATCATTGCCACGTCACTATTAATTTCACATTTATTAATATTTGGAATTCTTCTTAAAATATCAGTCTCTGGACTGTAAACATTATAAAAACATTTCCCTTGTATGATCTTAATTATCAGTACTAAAACAAATTAAATATAAAGCCTCTTTTCCCTTCTTGATTTAACGCATCTGGAGAGACGCCCAATGTGTAAGTGGGAGGCAGACGCCATTAAATTTAATGTAAACAAAAGTCTCGCTGGAGCTCACTTGACGCTCCGCAAAGTTCCCTCTAGACGTAGTGTTATAGGATGTAGACGGCACCCATCATCAGCACGATCCTCCTCAACGATAAGGGAAGTATCCGATAACCTTTTAAATCTTATCACTCCTTTCCAGAAATGTTAGGTACATTAGGGTATACAGTTGAGAATGCATGGCGAGCCACCCAGAGAAATTATTAATTAAATCTTATCTAATAAATTATAATAATTCCCCCCTGATATAACTGTCATATATTGGTTACGATTATTATTATGGGTGCCTTTTGACAGGTGAAATTGAAGGGGAAGAAAAATTAGCATCAATTACCTGGTACAACATGTGACGTGTGATTACACACGGCTCTGAGCGGACAGAACACTGGACGCGTGATCTTGTGGTCCCAGGTTCAATCCCTGGAGCCGACGAGAAACAATAGGCAGAGTTTCTTTCACAATGATGCCCCTGTTACCTAGCAGTAAATAGGTACCTGGGAGTTAGTCAGCTGTCACGGGCTGCTTCCTGGGGGTGGAGGCCTGGTCGAGGACCGGGCCGCGGGGACACTAAAGCCCCGAAATCACCTCAAGATAACCTCGCCCACGAGGAGTATCGGGCTGGTGTGATCATCCGTGTTCATATCTGGTGGTCCAAGCCATAGCTACCATGAAGATAGGGCTTCCCCAGTATTTACTAACCTATGTAGTGTTAACATTGGAGTGAATGTCTATCATTCGATAATTTCGATTGATAGACTATTACATTAGTAAACACCCCAGCTTGTGTACGAAACTATTTGTGGTAACTTTAACATCAAACAGTCCTCTATCGAAATTAATTAATTAACATAATAAATAAATTAATATAAATTACCCAGTAATATAAATTGCTAAGTAAGTAAATTCCACAAGTCAGTTTTCCCCACAGCTACAGGTAACGGATCTCCCAATACTGAGCACTCCAGGTGCAAACCCTGTGAGCAGGAACTGGGACATGATCTCACGTACTACATTACCGAATGCAAAGTTATCAGACCCAAGTAATCTCAAATTCCTCTAGTGGTGCCAGGTTAACTATTCCTTCCATTATCTCTAGAACTTCTCCTTGCTCCAATGTGAAGACCTCCTGGAATTTCCTATTGAGTTCCTCACACTTCTTTGTCGTTTGTAGTGAATCTGTCTGACCCTATCCTCAGTTTCATTACCTGTTCCTTCACTGTTGTCTTTCTCCTGATGTGGCTGTGTAGCAATTTAGTGTGATGAGGACTTGTAGCATCACGTAGTTAGTTATTTTTTACACACACACTGTACTCCCCTTCATATAGTCTAGGGTAGCTGCACAAATGCAGATGTACTTACATGTGCTTAAAAAATAGTTACATAATTTTCTGAAAGGAAGAGAAGGGAGGGGGGGGGATGGAGATAAGGGAGAATGAGGGAGGGAATTATCAGTGGAAATCTCCAAGTCATTAAGACTATATTGTACTTGGAAGTGACCAGGATAAGGATTTGGAATGGGCCGGGGGGTAGGAGGAATGTTTCCCAACCACTTGAACGATCGGGGATTGAACGCCAACCTGGATGAAGCGAGATCGTCGCTCTACCGTTTAGCCCAAATTGATCTCTTCCCTACTCTAGTGGGACAGACAGAGATAGACAAAAATAGGGACAGACAGAGACAGGACAGAGATAGAGAGAAAATCAAGGAAAAGGTGTGACAGGATGCATGATTGAACAGAAGGAAGGAGAAAGAGAGTGTGGGGAATAACAGGTGAAGAAAGGAAGAAGGAGAGAGAGAGAGAGAGAGAGAGAGAGAGAGAGAGAGAGAGAGAGAGAGAGAGAGAGAGAGAGAGAGAGAGAGAGAGAGAGAGAGAGAGAGAGAGAGAGAGAGAGAGAGAGAGAGAGAGAGAGAGAGAGAGACACAGACAGACAGACAGACAGACAGACAGACAGACAGACAGACAGACAGACAGACAGACAGACAGACAGACAGACAGACAGACAGAGAGAGACCCGAGCAAAGCCGGGTACGCCCCCTAGTAACGCATACAACTTTAGACAATATTTAAATATTAAAGAACAAATCCACAAGGGCCGTGACGAGGATTCGAACCTACGTCTATGAGCATCCCAGACGCTGCCTTAATCCACTGAGCTACGACATGGTTAAAAAGAGTTGAAACCGAAGTTCTACAGAACTTACTGGATCCTGCAGTCTCTCCGAGGCACAAACCAGGGGTTTTACACAACTCCCCCCATGCACTCGAGCTATGTCAATAGGCCGTTCTCCCTCTTCGCCCTTCCTTCATTACACACAAAAATCACAATAACATGATGCATCAATGAACAAACCCTTGTGGATTTGTGCATTGATGAATCACGTTATTGTAATTTCTGTGTTTTATAAATATGGTTTTACAGCCTGAATTACTAAACTAACAATGATGCTATTGGCCGGTTAGCCTCCATGTTCAGCATCGATTTTTACATTTGCCATCCTGTAAATCATGGTCTATCAGTAATCATTAAATTGTTAATGTTTTTAATAAATAATGGTAAGGTCTTCTCACAGATATAATAACATAGGATAAAAAAAAAACACTTGTGTATTTGTGAAATTTATGTTAAGAATTTACACCAAGTCTTTCACACTCTCCTGAGTGCTTTGTCAAGGTCTGAGTATGTGATTAGGAAGAGTCTTCGTCCTAATCACATACTCATAACCTAATATGATTTCTAATCGTTCTAATCGCATACTAATAGTCATAATCGTCCTACTGAGTCTTAATCATCCTAATCACATATTTCTTCCATTAGACAGCGTCTAATGAGGATGAAGGAGTCCTGGGTCTACTCCTGGGTACAATCCTCTTATCATTCGTGACCTCAGGAGGTCTTCTTTAAAGAAGGCATCACCGTAATCCCTGACAGGTAAACATCGTTCCGTAAACACTCCCGCCACCACTACCATCATCGTCACTACGGAACACCCGAGTTGCTACTTTAGCAAGAAGTAACAAAAATACAACACCGTCGAACCACCCATTCGTGTCCTTCTGGAGCTGTAAAGAGTCTGAGACAAGGTCATACGAACAGGGAACTGAGGAGAAAGTAGCACTGTAGTCGTGTCAAGGAAGATGACCACTAGTTGGGATGAGTTACCTTTCCCCTTGCAGCCTGGCAATCTTGTGACCTTTCACGCTACGTATATGCAACAATGCTCACACGCATCCCTTACCTAATTGACTAAGAAATTGCACATGACACATTTAACAGCTGCATATTGAGTGACTGGTTCTGCCTCTGCTCCATCCTTGTTGACTGTGTCCTGATACCTGGCGATGATCACAGAGCCATCACCACAGGTGCCTCACCTTGACGGGGCAGTCATTAACATGCGCTCCCAGGGATGATCCGCACTGCTTGGTATGGTCTGGGAACCATGGTGGCTAAACCCTCCTGATGCTTGGATTGTTTATGTTGGTGAGTCGTCCTTGGTTATCTTCTCCTTCCTCCTCTTCCTCTTCTTCTTCTTTATCTTCTTCTTCTTCTTCTTCTTCTTCTTCTTCTTCTTCTTCTTCTTCTTCTTCTTCTCTTTCTTCTTCTTCTTCTTCTTCTTCTTCTTCTTCTTCTTCTTCTTCTTCTTCTTCTTCTTCTTATATGGACTTAAGGCCTATGTGCCTGGTGCAAGTTATGAAGGCACGACATTACCTTACTGACCAGCGAGGAAGTACACTTTATTCTTGAGAATAGTAAAGAAATTAAGGCAGCTCTCTGTGCATTTAATATATATATATATATATATATATATATATATATATATATATATATATATATATATATATATATATATTATATATGAATAACAGTGTCAAACCACGGAGGAAGAATTGAAACAGGAATTTCCGTAAGTACTTTCGTATATTAATACATCTTCAGAAGGAAATTTGCTGAAGATCATTCCTTCTGAAGATGTATTAATATACGAAAGTACTTAAGGAAATGCCTGTTTCAATTCTTTCTCCATGGTCTGACACTGTCACATTTTTCATCACGTGATAATTTTTGTGATTTACACACTCACACCTCTCTCACTCTCTCTCTTTCTCTCTCTTCTCTCTCTCTCTCTCTCTCTCTCTCTCTCTCTCTCTCTCTCTCTCTCTCTCTCTCTCTCTCTCTCTCTCTCTCTCTCTCTCTCTCCCTCTCTCTCCTCTCTCTCTCTCTCTCTCTCTCTCTCTCTCTCTCTCTCTCTCTCCTCTCTCTCTCTCCTCTCTCTCTCTCTCTCTCTCTCCCATCTCCTCTCCTCTCTCTCTCTCTCTCTCACGATCTCTCTCTCTCTCTCTCTCCTCTCTCTCTCTCTCTCTCTCTCTCTCTCTCTCTCTCTCCTCTCGCTCTGGGGAGAGGGAGAAAGGTAGAGAGGAGACGACAGAGTGGGGAAACGACAAAATAGGCGAGAAAGAGAGGAGAGGAGAGGGTGTAGCTAGAAGGGCTCAGCCGGGTTCCTCCCCCCCCACCCCATCTAGTAAAAAAATAACTCTGAATTCTTAGCAAACATAAACAACCAATCATCTCTAATAGCAACAGCAGTGCTTTTAGCGGAACTCACAGTTTAATAAACCAGACACACTGCGAGTACCGGCTTCTTCCCAAGAATCGTCAGCACTTCCTGGACACCGGATTGAAAATTGAAGCACGTACCGTACCGCAGCAACATGCAAAGTCGACGGTACACAGCTTAACAACACGTACCGTACCGCCACAACAGTACCAGGTGTCTCCCACACCGCCACAACAGTACCAGGTGTCTCCCACACCGCCACAACAGTACCAGGTGTCTCCCACACCGCCACAACAGCACCAGGTGTCTCCCGCACCACCACAACAGTACCAGGTGTCTCACACACCGCCACAACAGTACCAGGTGTCTCCCACACCGCCACAACAGTACCAGGTGTCTCCCACACCGCCACAACAGTACCAGGTGTCTCCCACACCGCCACAACAGCACCAGGTGTCTCCCACACCGCCACAACAGTACCAGGTGTCTCCCACACCGCCACAACAGTACCCGGCGTCTCCCACACCGCCACAACAGCACCAGGTGTCTCCCACACCGCCACAACAGTACCACTCACAGCCACAACAGTACCATGTCTCCCGCACCGCCACAACCAGGTGTCTCCCACACCGCCACAACAGTACCAGGCGTCTCCCACACCGCCACAACAGTACCAGGTGTCTCCCACGTCTCCCGCACCGCCACAACAGTACCGCCACAACAGTACCAGTACCCGGCGTCTCCCACACCGCCACAACAGCACCAGGTGTCTCCCACACCGCCACAACAGTACCAGGTGTCTCCCACACCGCCAACGGTACAATTAATGAGTCTCACACGCTCACAATTGACAGGACGACCCGGAAAAAAGACATCCTTGGCGACAGATCATTACGTGTGGTGGTGAGAGTATATATATACATATAGATGCCTCTTATGTCTCAGTTCCGTCACGCACTCAACACGCACTCGAGATGAAGTTCGTAAGTACAAGAGAGTTGAGTCTAATTACTATCTCCTCCTCTGGTTCCAATAGGGTCCCTCGGTTCTATCTTCTCTCAGAATTGTTATATGATTGAGAAATGCTTGAATCTTTAGATAAGAATGCCATAAACAATCATGTATATTATTTTATCATCCTCGCTTTAATGTTTATATCTCTCATTGCCAGTGTATTATGTAATATCTCTTATTGCCAGTGTATTATGTGATATCTCTCATTGCCAGTGTATTATGTGATATCTCTCATTGCCAGTGTATTATGTGATATCTCTCATTGCCAGTGTATTATGTGATATCTCTCATTGACAGTGTATTATGTGATATCTCTCATTGACAGTGTATTATGTGATATCTCTCATTGCCAGTGTATTATGTGATATCTCTCATTGCCAGTGTATTATGTGATATCTCTCAATGCCAGTGTATTATGTGATATCTCTCATTGACAGTGTATTATGTGATATCTCTTATTGCCAGTGTATTATGTGATATCTCTCATTGACAGTGTATTATGTGATATCTTTCATTGCCAGTGTATTATGTAATATCTCTTATTACCAGTATATTATGTGATATCTCTCACTACCAGTATATTATGTGATATCTCTCATTACCAGTGTATTATTTGATATCTCTTCACACCAGTATTTTATGTGAAATCTCTAATTGCCAATGCATTATTTAATATATCTCACTACAAATGATTACTCACTACTATTATGTGATATCTCTCATTGCCAGTGTATTATGTGGTATCTCTACAATACAAATTCGTTGTAGCAAAAGCTCATGAAGCAACATTTGTTTTACATCATATATTATATAATATGTAGAGCGAAATACATGCATGTTTTGAACTAAAAGTACACATATTTGCAACACATGTGTAATCTAAACACACATGCTTTAGGTTGATGCCAACATTCTCATTCTCGTTTATAATGTCTGAGTTAGACTAATAGAATATCTTGAAAGTTAGCTTACAAATTATTTAGTCACTTGCACTCTATGTTATCTGCACCTCTTGGCGAAGATAACCATTTATTTTTAGTTAAATTGAATAATGCACTTGGCTGCTTAGCATTAAAACATTTCAGAAGAACATTTGTTATGCATGGAATTAACAACTCTAGTTGATTTCACTGGTGTTATTGAATGTTTACACCATACAAACATCAACATAAACAACATTTTGGCAACTCTGGGGGGGGGGGGGATCTTCGACAAGTCGCCGGCTTTCAGTCCTCGTTGAGGCCACTAGGGTTAGTGGCCCTCTGGTAAAACCAAGCGATAGTACTACAACACGGAACTTTATATTTTTTTGTCTATAAAAACCTTTAAATATCAAAATAAAAAGTGCCATCCCATAAATTTTCATGTCAATATTTCTGCCAATAAAGTCCTTTAATTAGCACAATTTTAAGATTTCTTCCGCATGGGACCCAAAATGTGGACATACAAGCTTCCACTTAATCCAGCTAATTAAATTAATTATTTCTCCAGGCACTCACTTGTCACTTCCCACTCTAAAATTTGTCCAAAAATTTGATAACTTAAGTGTTGGGAAATACAACTTAAGAATGAGCGATGTATTGAATTGGGAAGAGGGTATACAGGATGAAATAAAATAACTAACCAGCAAAGAAAGCAGGTAACCAATAATATCACCCCAACAAAATAACTACCCAATATCCCCCAGCTGATGACGGAACTACTGTCCGTCATCAGTTTAGGAGATATGTCTACTAAACGGAACTACTGTCCGTTTAGGAGATATTGCTTATTGACAGGTATTTTGAGACCAACTGAAGACAAGTCTATGTTTATCAACTGTGTTTTGGGAATGATTTTGATCCTGGATACCCCTAGAATGTTGACCAGACCACACAGTAGAAGGTGAAGGGACGACGACGTTTCGGTCCGTCCTGGACCATTCTCAAGTTGATTCAACTTGAGAATGGTCCATTCTCAATCAACTTGAGAATGGTCCAGGACGGGCCGAAACGTCGTCGTCCCTTCACCTTCTAGTGTGTGGTCTGGTCAACATACTTTAGCCACGTTATTGTGACTCATCGCCTGCATAGCCCTAGAATCTATTGATGGAGAATGCTGGGGATCTGAATGGAGAATGCCCAGCCGACAAGGGGAGGGGCCGTGATGGCTGAGTATACAGCACTCGGGGTTCGTAGTCCTAAGGTCCCGGGTTAGATCCCCGGTGGAGGCGGAAACAAATAGGCAGAGTTTCTTTCACCCTGATGCCCTTGTTACCTAGCAGTATATAGGTACCTGGGAGTTAGACAGCTGCTACAGGCTGCTTCCTGGGGGGGGGGGTGTAAAAAAGGAGGCCTGGTCGAGGGAGCCGCGGGGACGCTATGCCTCGAAATCATCTCAAGATAACCTCAATGGTGAGTAACTTTTTATTTAACTTCGTGGAATGATTAATTGTAATTGTTACTATTAAGTTCTTTCAATTGTCTTCTCATCATTCAATGATTGTTGTATAAAGTGTGTCAATGTCTGCCTTACTGCTCAACTGGTAAACTATACTGTATATTTCTAATGTATATCACCGTTCAATTTGTAAACTAAATGTTACTCACTTTATGCAGAAATGTAAGTTTTATTAAGACTGATGTACACCTGTTTAGTCCAGCCATTACTGCAACGATTGTTAACAGTTGTTACGAACTATATATCTGATATTTCTGAATTTGACCACTGAAATAATTTTAATCAATGATAAATGTAGCTACTAAATAGTAATGTAAATCTGGAGTATACGGTATAACACTACGTGTTATGTTATTATTTTGACTCATATAAATAAAATTTACTGTAAACGTGTGTAAACTATCCCAACTATAAGTCCATAAATCTCTATGAACAAAGCGTTTGAATTTGAATTTAATTTGAACCTCTTGGTGACAATAATTTCTTATCTTTCGTTCTCTATAAATCATGTCGTGTTTCAGGTGGTCGTGGTGTGCATTGTCGGTGTTGTCGTCGCTAGTCCCCAGTTCGACCAGGGAAGCGGTTTTGGCCAGCGGACACGGAACAGACAAATGAATCAGGATCACTTTAATACAGAGGACCATCTTAATCCACAGCATCAGTTCAGTCAACAGACTCAGCTTCGTCGACACAATGACTTTAACACGAAGGATCAACTTATCCACCAGAATGAGTTCCAAAGGCAGCCACAAGGTAGTCGACAGCGACAAACCAGTCGACAGCGCCAGGCTACTCAACGGTTTCCCGTGAATCAACAGAATCAATTTAGTCAACAAACTTTGATTACTCCACAGCCTCAAATAAGTCAACAGTCTCTGGTCAAACGTCAGCCACATCTCGGCCATCATGTTCAAGTGACTCAGCATGATACATTGAGTCGACATACTCAGGTCAATCGACACCCGCAAGTGAGTCAACGACTTCCGATGAACCGACTGCAACAACAGATCAGTCACCAGCCGAAGGTCATTCGACAATCTGCAGTCAGTCGACAGCCTGAGATCATTCGACAGCATGAGGTCATTCAACAGCCTGAGATAATTCAGCAGGCAAAGATCATTCGACAGCCCCAGATTAGCCGACAGCCTCAGACGAATAGTCGACAGCCCCAGATTAGCCGACAGCCTCAGACGAATAGTCGACAGCCTCAGACAAGTAGCCGACAGCCTCAGACGAGTAGTCGACAGCCTCAGACGAGTAGTCGACAGGCTCAGCCGTCTAGCCAGACCCACTTCAAGCAAAAGTCTACATCTGATGGACACCGCGAGACGAGCCTCCAGTCACGAGTGGAGCATCCCGTCGTCAGGTCAGACCAGCATTCCATCGTCAAGTCTGACCAACAGCGCCAGCAGCCCATTGCTATTCTACGGGACGACCGCCAGAACCCCGAAGACGGAAACTTTAACTTCGAGTTCGAGTCAGAAGACGAGATCAGTGTGAACGCCTTCGGGAGCCGAGGGGCTCATGGCCAGAGCAATGTGGAGGGGTCCTACAGGTGAATACCATTTTCTTATTTTTCTTTTGAATGTTATCTTTCTCTCGCACCTGTTCTCTCTTTCTTGCTACATCTTATATATATATATAAGCTTTATTGTTCATTTCTTATACGAATAATGTTATTCTCCTTCAGGTTTCCCCTCCCGGACGGCACCTTCGCTGAAGTCCACTACACCGCTGATGAAAACGGCTACCGCGCCCAGTCTCCGCTGATCCCCACGCCCCACCCTCTCCCCGCCCACGCTCTTGAGCAGATCCGCTTCGCCGAGGAGCAGCGCGCCCTTGAAGCTCTTCGGGGTCGCCAGCCGTCGTGATCACACCGTTGTCACAACCTCCAGCTCCAGAAGACTGACCCATAGCCCTCCAGGTCACCACCGCTACACACGAGCGCCGATCTCAGGTGGAACTAAGCTTATCTTTCCCAGTGCACTCAGCAAAAGATGGAACTTAATCTTTTTGACATATTTTATGCCACCCTCACCTTCTTTTGCATTTTGTTTCCTTCATTCACTTGCTGAGTTTTACCTGAGGTTGGTGAGTGGAGGTAGGTCTTGAGGCGTCAGCAAACTAGTAGTGTGTTAGTGGATGTAAATAGACTGTAACACAACTAACTGTGAGTGGTCAAAATGCTAACTATATGTTGACAGGTTATTTTATTTTAAAGTATTAAATGGACGTCATCCACTTACTTCTGTCTCCCTGATGAGGTTTGAAAATCGGTATATGTTGAGTGCTAATTCAAATTGCGTACTCTGATGAATTACATTTGTTTATGTCTTCAGCTTTCTATCATACAGGGACATATTTACAGCAACTCATCATACACACACAACTATTTACTGCTATCACTGAAGCATAGTTATTCAGAAGTCTATCGTAATAATTCAGGGAAAAAAAGTCTTACGATCAAATATTCCGACACAAGGGGTTTACGGCTATATAAATAAGAGTTTGTGACTAACTTTCAGGAAGACAGAGACAAAAATTTACGACTGTGTGTTACATAGCTCCAAAGAGTTATCTCTGTCTCTTTTCCGTACGATATTACCTATCAGTGAAAGGCTTTTAAATAGTTAGGATTTTTAAGACAACCAAGTTCAAGCTGAGACCAGCAGTTCCTTCTGATCCTAATGAACAGCATAAAGTATATGTCTGGTACCTCAATGTCTGGTACCTCAATGTCTGGTACCTCAATGTCTGGTACCTCAATGTCTGGTACCTCAATGTCTGGTACCTCAATGTCTGGTACCTCAATGTCTGGTACTTCAATGTCTGGTTCCTCAATGTCTGGTACCTCAATGTCTGGTACCTCAATGTCTGATACCTCAATGTCTGGTACTTCAATGTCTGGTACCTCAATGTCTGGTACCTCAATGTCTGGTACCTCAATGTCTGGTACCTCAATGTCTGGTTCCTCAATGTCTGGTACCTCAATGTCTGTCTGGTACCTCAATGTCTGATACCTCAATGTCTGGTACTTCAATGTCTGATACCTCAATGTCTGTCTGGTACCTCAATGTTTGATACCTCAATGTCTATCTGGGACCTCAATGGACCCCATACCTCTCCCGTGGGTGGTTTGGACCCCATACCTGTCCCGTGGGTGGTAGTGGACCCCATACCTGTCCCGTGGGTGGTAGTGGACCCCATACCTGTCCCGTGGGTGGTTTGGACCCCATACCTGTCCCGTGGGTGGTAGTGGACCCCATATCTGTCCCGTGGGTGGTATTGAACCCCATAATTATCTCGTGGGTGGTTTGGACCCCATACCCATACACTGGGTGGTGCTGGAAAAGGTTACAGGCGCACATAATGGGCTCAGGAACTAAACCCCACAAATCCTGATGACAATCTCCATAAGTTAGTTACACAGTTAAATGTATATATCAATAATTTCTTTTTACTGCACAAGTAGTTCAAGAACTGGTCCACAACAGTCTCTTAAGCTGAGCCAGTCAGTCATCATGCTCCACACACCACACCATTTCAAGGGAGACGGCTGTAGAAAGCTTTGTCGTGTGCATGCCCTCTACATTAGGCATGTTTTGAAATATAAGATTTCTGGTAATATATAATTTTCAGTGAGGTACTTTAATAATTATATTTGCTGCATGTGAGAGTCAGTAGATACGATATAATACCAATTGATGAACTTATTTACATCATATTCTGATATGTAATTAACCCAAATTATAATATGAGAATTATCTGTAACTGAATCCATTTTCAATAAATGTCTGAATAATTTTGTTTTAGACTGTTCGTACAGGGTAAACATGAACCTCTAACTTTGTTTAACACGTTTTATTAGATTGCTTATTTAACTGTACATCATTCTCAAAATTACAATCCGTGAAAAGATAATCATATCCGGAAAAAAACGGATATTAGAGATGACATTGGAAGGTCAGACGGCGGTGGGGTTAGACGCTCCTAACAGAACGCCATGTGATCAGGCCCTCGTGAGAGAACGCTGTATGAGCAGACATCTCTGACAGAATGCCATGTGCTCAGGCATCACTGACAGAACACCATGTGCTCAGGCATCTCTGACAGAAGGTGATGGGATCCGTGCTGCTCACTGGAAGGTGATGCCCTGACGGCGCTGCTCCTCAGCAACTCTGATCTGCTCGAGGGCGTGGGCGGGGAGTGGGTGGGGCGTGGGGATCAGGTCAGACTGCGGCTGGTAGCCGTTCTCGTCGGCGATGTAGCGGACCTCAGCGACGGTACCGTCGAGAAGAGGATACCTGAGGAAAAACGGCAGCGAGATTCAATCAGTAGGACAAGGAAACAATTGGGATGGATTGGAGCGCCAGAGAGGGAAAGGTTAGGATTTTATGACATTGACATTCTCACTGTCAATCTCATAGAAGATGGGAAATAGGGGACCGAGAACAAGGCCGAGAGAAAGAGGAGTGAAATATGGTTAAATGAAAGGTTGGAACTGCTAAGATAAACCTCAACCTACGTCCTACGGTAGATGAACTTTCTCCTACCATCTATACCTCGATGAATCTACTCATTCTGTCCACCTAGAGTCCTTAATGAATCTACTCCAACTGTCCACCTAGAGCCCTAGATGAATTTACTCCTACCGTTCACCTAGAATCCTAGATAAATCAACTCCTACCGTCCACCTAGAGTCTTAGATGAATCTATTTCTACCGTCCACCTAGAGTCCTACAAAAATCAACTCCTACCGTCCACCTAGAGTCTTAGATGAATCTATTTCTACCGTCCACCTAGAGTCCTACAAGAATCTACTCCTTCCAGCTAACGATTCAATAAGCGATGTAAGAAAAGAAACAAGATCTACAAATAAGAATATTTCGAAGGATGTGACCCCCGACTCACCTGAAGACTGCCTGGGTGTTGTTCTAGCTCAGAAGGAACAAAGAACTTACCTGAACATTACCTGGATGTTCCTCCTTGGCTGTAAGAGGAACAGTGAACAAGCCTGAAGGCTTCCAAGATGTTTTTCATGTACTTTGGAGGCACCAATTACTTACTTTAAGATTTCCTAAGTGTTATTTTCGCTCTGGACGAAATGGATGACTTACCTAAAGACGCCTTGGATGTTGCTCTGGCCCTGGGAACCTCGGCTGCCCTCAGCGTTCACCACAATGCCATTCTCAGCCTCGAACTCGTAGGTGAAGCTGCCGTCGCCATTGTCCTGACGTTCGTCCCTCAGAATAGCGACAGGTCGACGTACTTCCTGCACATTGAAGTTCTGGGAGAACTGAGGGGCGGCGGCGGCGGCAGCGACCAGACAGGCGAGGACAACCTGCAACACACCAGACAGAAGCATTGAACCGACTTTTTATACAGCTGGAGTTGAGGTTTCAATAATCATAATAGCTTATATCAAATGTTTCTAGCAGCGTATTTGTACTTCTAGCTTCAAGCTGTATTACGATAGCATTCGAGAATTATATATATATATATATATATATATATATATATATATATATATATATTATATATATATAGAGAATATATATATATATATATATATATATATATATATATATATATATATATATATATGTGTGTGTGTGTGTGTGTGTGTGTGTGTGTGTGTGTGTGTGTGTGTGTGTGTGTGTGTGTGTGTGTGTGTGTGTGTGTGTGTGTGTGTGTGTGTGTGTGTGTGTGTGCATATAAAGTACATTCATTTATACGTACATACTTATAAAGAACACATGTACAAATAGCCAAACTGCAGAACTCCAAGAACAAACTGAAAGAACCCTAAATTAATGCTTCAATGGCGTGAACTTACAAGCTTCATGTTGAGTGTGTGTGTGTGGGCTGGCTAGCGAGACAGACTAGTGTGGGGCTGGTGTGGTCTGGGGCGTGGCTTTATATACCCGCCCAACGGTCAGGATTTTCCAGGTACCCCTTCAACGGTCGAGGGACACTCAGAACAGAAAAAAAGGGTACCATGATGTGATTCCAGGAATCTTACAAGGTTATCCTTTGGCATGAGTGAAAGGACCTGTCGCTAAAAATTATTATTATTATTAATATTATATATATAATATATATATATATATATATATATATATATATATATATATATATATATATATATATATATATATATATATATATATATATATATATATATATATATATATATATATATATATATATATATATATATATATATATATATATATATATATATATATATATATATATATATATATATATATATATATATATATATATGTTTATTAAATTTGACCGAAAAAGTAAGATTAATAATTCTAACACGAATTTTCCTGATCTTTCTTACGTTTCTTTTCACTGTTGATGGTAATTCAAAGATCAATTCTCCAAAATTCATTTTTATTTCTAGTCTGACGCGACACTTGAGCGCGTTTCGTAAAACTTATTGCATTTTCAAAGACTTTAGTTAACACATACACAACTGAATAGAACTTAACATCTCCGATTTTGTTTATATCTACATTTGAGTGAGGTGGATGGGGTGAGGTGGTATTTAATAAGGTATTAATTTCATCAACACAAGCCAGAACATGAAACAATGGGTATTGAATAGAAGTGATTGTAGAAAGCCTATAGGTCCATATTTCTTGATGTTTCTATATTGGAGCGGAGTCTTGAGGTGGGTAGACTCCGCTCCAATATAGAAGCATCAAGAAATATGGACCAATAGGCTTTCTACAATCACTTCTATTCAATACCCATTGTTTCATGTTCTGGCTTGTGTTGATGAAATTAATACCTTATTAAATACCACCTCACCCCATCCACCTCACTCAAATGTAGATATAAACAAAATCGGAGATGTGTAAGTTCTATTCAGTTGTGTATGTGTTAACTAAAGTCTTTGAAAATGTAATAAGTTTTACGAAACGCGCTCAAGTGTCACGTCAGACTAGAAATAAAAATGAATTTTGGAGAATTGATTTTTGAATTACCACCAACAGTGAAAAGAAATGTACGAAAGATTGAGAAAATTCGTGTTAGAATTATTAATCTTACTTTTTGGGTCATATTTAATAATATATGTCTACAGGAAAGACTGCTACCATATATATATACTATATATATATATATATATATATATATATATATATATATATATATATATATAATCAATGGAGGTCTGAGGGTGTGTTTAGGGAGAGTAATTATTCAATAGGAGACTGGGAGTGGGTTTGGTCTGAAGCGCATGAGTGCCAGGAAGCCTACGGCTTGGTAGATAGGAGATGGGCTCCATCATACCTCCAGCTTCCGGTGTGAAAGGAGCCGGAAATTCTGGAGAAGGTGAGAGCATCATCTTGGAAAGGCGAGGACAGGTACCTGAAGGACCAGTAAGAATGTTTCCACACCTGTTCAATCCTCACTTCCATGTTTATTAATATTATTATTATTTATATTATTATTATTATTATTATTATTATTATTATTATTATTATTATTAGTAGTAGTAGTAGTAGTAGTATTAGTATTATTTGAACTCGCGACCAGGGCAAGCCCAGCCGCTCACCTTACCACTGTACCACCCTGACCTATTAAAAATGTACAACTTGGATTCCATTGAAACCTTTGGCAGTCTGAAGGTTTCAGTAGAAGCCTTCAGATTTCCAGAGGTTTCACCTCATATTCTTATCATATATATTTATTGACTTTCTCTGCCACCCTTTCTTTATAAGAATTGATAATGACTCATGGGAGGAGCGTAGTCTCGCCACGTCTTTATTTAATGATATGTGGGTTGGGTTCCCAATGTTGGGTTCTGAGCCTTGGTACAGGTGATAGCGTTACCTGCTATCACCTGGACAATAATGAAGTTGCCAAATCCGATTGCGAAAAAGATATGGGCGTCATCAATAGTAGGGATTTAAAGCAAACAAAAAGAAACTAACATAAATGTTTGAAATAAGGCAAAGAGGGTACTGGGAATCATGTCTGGAAGCATTAGAAAAAATAACATCGAAAGCTATTATTCAGCTTTGTTTTTTGTTTTGTTTTTCTTTTTGACACTTAGATCATGCTGTATGGTACGTGTTGTTGTGTACTATCTTGAGATGATTTCGGGGCTTTTTAGTGTCCCCGCGGCCCGGTCCTCGACCAGGCCTCCAACCCCCAGGAAGCAGCCCGTGACAGCTGACTAACACCCAGGTACCTATTTTACTGCTAGGTAACAGGTACTATAATAAACAATGGAAATAAATTCACTTGAAATTGAAAAAAAGAAGAATGATTAAACTTGCTGCAGAAGCTAGAAATCTACAAACTGAAGAAAGTTAAAGAAAACTTAATATACATTTATTAGAAGATGAAAAGTGAGAGGTGACATGACTACAGTGAACAAATTGGTGAAAAGATGTACATTTTTTACGTATATATTATGTGTAAATATATTAACACAAATCTGAACAAGAAACAAGGGATATAAATTGAACCATTTTAAATTCAGAAAATATTTGGATAATTTGTGGTTTAAGAACACAGGGTTGTTCATCAATGGAACACATTACTGGGTAACATAATAGCTTTAGGCAATTGGATTGTCGAGAGAGAGAGAGAGAGAGAGAGAGAGAGAGAGAGAGAGAGAGAGAGAGAGAGAGAGAGAGACAGATCCGATACGGGAGAGTTTAGTTGGGTGCTGATATAAGACAATAAGCCTTCAGTGGTTTCATTTATACTTATGTGCTTATGATCATATTTGTATCTCGGGATAACACGGAATAAATTAAGAAAATGGTAGCCATGATCCAAAGTTTATTGTTATTTTAAAGTCTAAATTATAGCTATATTGAATTTTGATTGATGGGAATACAAAAGCAGGGAACAAGGAGTCATATCGTGATGTCCTGAAGGCCGGGCAGACTTGGTCTAGTCCCACACGATGCCCCGACGGCGCTGCTCTTCTGCGTTACGGATCTGCTCGACAGCGTGGGCGGGGAGAGGGTGGGGCGTGGGGATCAGCGGAGACTCTACGCGGAAGCCCTTTTCGTCGGCTGTGTAGCGGACCTCAGCGTAGCCGCCCTCGGGCAAGGGGAACCTCCGCAAAAAAATCAAATTAATGCGTTAAATTAAATGTAAATGAGTTTTACATTCAGGTTAATTCATAAGTAATTAAGGAATTATAGAAAGAAGCCATGTTGACCAGACCACACACTAGAAAGTGAAGGAACGACGACGTTTCGATCTGTCCTGGGCCACTCTCAATCGACTTGAGAATAGTCCAGGACGGACCGAAACGTCGTCGTCCCTTCACCTTCTAGTGTGTGGTCTATTCAACATACTTCAGCCACGTTATTGTGACTCATCGCCTGCAAAGAAGCGATGATGTGTATTAGTGTGGGAACATATTGAGTACCTGTCAACGAAGTTAAGCTCCTTATCGTCGTATTTGTGCTTCCTGTACGGAAAAGTGATCATAAGGATTAAAGTTTCCGTATTTTAGTAGTAGGAATGAAGATGACAGCCACAAATAGATAAGGATAAATTAAATAACTGCATGAACAAGTCCCTACGACGCACCACCTTCTTCATCACCATCACCATAATTGAGAAAATAAGGACGAGCGCGTGATGAGGATTCGAACCTATGTGTTGGGTAGTCATAATCATTATTATTCTAATTATCATCATCACCATAATTATCATCATAACCTCACTTGTAGAAGCCGGCCATGTTGCTGCCGCCTCTGCTGCCTGGCCTGCCGGAGCCGTCCACGTAGATGCCATTCTCACCCTCGTACTGGAAGTTGAAGTTTCCGTCGCCTTGGTCCTGGCGACTTTCACGGACGATGGCGATGAAGCGCGGGTCCCTCAGTCGCTGGGGGGCGGCGATGGCGGCCAGGCAGGCGAGCAATACCTGGGGGAAGACCGCATTGTTAGAGTTGGTGTGTTCACTTATGGTGCCCAGCCACTTGGGCTGGAGGGCAGAGCGGCGGTCTCGCTTCATGCAGGTCGGCGTTCAATCCCCGACCATCTAAGTGGTTGGGTACAATTCCTTTCACTCGTCCCATCCAAAATCCTGATCCTTTCCAAGAGCTGTATAGTCGTAATGGCTTGGTGCTTTCTCCTGATAGTGCCTTTCCTTTGTATTCGTTTATATTGGAGCTGCGGAATTCAACCCCGTCCTTTCTCCACCTTGGTACATATACTTTGGAGCCAAGTCTTAAAATGGAGGTCTTTCTTGAAGTCTGAATGCTTGTTCATAATCTCCTTAACAGTCAAGCAACATGAAGTCTGCAAAAGCCCTTCGCTGCCACGCTTGGTCGGGCACAGCAGATGCAGAATGTGCCCATTCCATTAATGTGCCACTTGCACACGCTTCTCTAGACGACTGAAAGTGTTGTACTATGACTAACATTACCATAAATGTGCTCGTATAGGAACATTAATCAAGAGCTATACCAAGCAAACATGAGTTCCAAGACGGTTTGCTGTACTTACAAGCTTCATGTTGACTCCTTGAGGCGAGAGCGAAGACAATACGTGGAGGCTTGTCTCAAGATGTATATATACCCCCTCAGTAGACCATTTTTTGTGGTAGTTCGAGTGAGCCCAAGCCGATTCTGGGCCGATATTGCGGGACAAATAAGTAAGGCGTGAGATGGAGGCGGGGCGGCATCCTGTTGGATCTAGAACTCTGCAGTTCTTCACGCATGAATCAGGTGATTGAATATATATATATATATATATATATATATATATATATATATATATATATATATATATATATATATGAAAAAGGAGAAAGAGGAGAACTCTTTCATCTAAGCCCTGATGCTTGGGAAATAGTTAGAGGAATAGAAGCCCTAAATCAGAACTTCGGTTGCAACTCCTTTTGACCATGTCACAGCTCAGTCGATTAAGGCAGCGTCTGGGATGCTCTTGGACGCAGGTTCGAATCCACGTCACGGCCCTTGTGGATTTGTTCATTTGATGCATCACGCAATTGTGATTTCTGTGTGTAATAAACTATACTTACGAAATGAACGGTATGGTAAACAACACAGCTCAATTTTAATGCAATGTCACACAAAATAATTAAATGAAAATGAAAAATAAATCAAAATCTATGAAAATTCAAATTGTCAATGAAATTGGAAACATTGAAATGTAATTGTAACATATTTAGTATAGGATGTGTTGTTGTTACGTGCAACAGATGGCACTGTTTAAAAAAAATAAAAATTATCTGTCATAGGTGTGGCATCTATATAGTAGGTAGATAAAAACACGCAGCTATTCGAAAGCAACGTTGGGTCAAAATTTCAAAGCAATTGGTAAAAAGGTTTCAAAGATTTCCATCACATGAAAAACACATGAATAACACAGTTTTTCAAAAAAGCCTGTTTTATCCCCCTCCTGGAGTCAGCAGCACTAGAAGACTTGCAGGTAGGTGTTTTCCACTACTGAATGAATATATTTATTTAATATCAAACCCAGGAGCTTCACCATTACACACATCTGGGATGGTGATTTGAGGTGTACTGAGATGGGCGAGGTAGTGGGGATGATCATACCCTCACCCCCATCCACCCTTCCCTCCCATCCTCTCGCCAGGCCTTACCATCAACCATCACTCCATCCTTCCCAGACCAGTTGTTCCGTGCAAATGCCTTTAGTATTATTTCTGATCATATGTAGAGGAGTGACCCAGTTCACAAACACACCACAACTACGTTTGGAGACTTAAAACGTTACATTAACTGAAGGAAGACTGTCAGGACTCCATTGGAACAAGCACAGAAGCCAGGCCATTCCACCCGCTCCAACCAGAGGATGAAAGACTAATGCCAATTTTTCGACGCTCCCCTCACTCCTACCCTGGACTGATGACTCAAACATGCTATGGGGATTAGACAACTTTTTAGTTTAAAGTTCTCAAACCGACTTGATGAAATAACCTCTACCATAGCCTCAGGGTGAAATAGCATCAGGGTGAAGGAAATTCTGCCCATTTGTCTCTGCCGGCGCCGAGAGTCGAATTCGGGTCACAGGATTACGAGTCCTGCGCACTTTTCTTTTAGCTACCAGACCCCCGGTGTGTGTGTGTGTGTGTGGTGATCATGCTGACGCCCCAAGATAAACAAAAAGATAATTTTCATATGAAACTATTCACTACAGACCTTTGAAACTGCATCTCCATTGCTGTTGTCTGGATCAATGAGTGCTGTCTCCTCACAGGGGCGTTGTCTTTGCCATGAAGTTCAATCTCTGTTAAACGAAGTTATCGCCTTCATTTAAGAGTGCTGTTCTTTCATCAATATCTCCTTCCAAAAATGTTATCATCGTCTGATAGTGTAATTTCCCCTCCAGATTATGATCTTACATGGGGTGTGATCTGGTGTGATCTTACAAGGGTGTGACCTTATGAGGGTGTGATCTTACAAGGATGTGATCTAACAAGGGTGTGATCTTACAAGGGTGTGATCTTACAAGGGTGTGATCTTACAAGGGTGTGATCTTACAATGGTGTGATCTTACAAGGGTGTGATCTTACAAGGATGTGATCTTACAAGGGTGTGATCTTACAATGGTGTGATCTTACAAGGATGTGATCTTACAAGGGTGTGATCTTACAAGGGTGTGATTTTACAAGGATGTGATCTTACAAGGGTGTGATCTTACAAGGGTGTGATCTTACAAGGGTGTGATCTTACAAGGGTGTGATCTTACAAGGGTGTGATCTTACAAGGATGTGATCTTACAAGGGCGTGATCTTACAAGGGTGTGATCTTACAAGGGTGTGATCTTACAAGGGTGTGATCTTACAATGGTGTGATCTTACAAGGGTGTGATCTTACAAGGATGTGATCTTACAAGGGTGTGATCTTACAATGGTGTGATCTTACAAGGATGTGATCTTACAAGGGTGTGATCTTACAAGGGTGTGATTTTACAAGGATGTGATCTTACAAGGGTGTGATCTTACAAGGGTGTGATCTTACAAGGTTGTGATCTTACAAGGGTGTGATCTTACAAGGGTGTGATCTTACAAGGATGTGATCTTACAAGGGCGTGATCTTACAAGGGTGTGATCTTACAAGGGTGTGATCTTATTTCCAGTGGGTGATCTCCTTCTAAGGCAACATGAGACATACACTCAAAACGACGTGATATCTTAAAGATAAAATCACCGTGAAGGGTAATCTTTCCAACGGTGTGATCTCCTCCCGGAAGTGTGATGAGCTGAAGGCCTGGGGACAAAGGAGTTTCTTAAGGTCAGGGTGATCCTCTGACATTTTGTGGCCGGTTGCTATGAAGTCCGGAAGAGTCGAGATGCAACTTTGCTGTTGAATTCAGTTAACACACTTAACCCCATCTAAGTGACCTCTGCTCGGTGTAGTTGGATATCATAATAAGTGTACAGGCGTCTGTTCTGTTACTTTTAAGAACATGGAGAGCAGCAGGTGAAGAAGGCACTTATAATTAAAGAGTAATTGGATGTGATGCAAAGTAATTGGGACCTGAGACAGGTAGTTGTTGTTGTTGTTGCTGTTGGCCTTAATGCGGTGATGTACTTACCTAATTGTACTTACTTAATTGGGCTTGCGGGGGTTGAGCTCTGGCGGTTTCGTCCCGCCTCTCAACTGTCAATTAACTAATGTACAGGTTCCCGAGCCTACTGGGCTCTATCATATCTACACTTGCTGTGTATGGAGTCAGCCTCCACCACATCACTTCCTAATGCATTCCATTTGTCTACTAATCTGACACTGAAAAAATTCTTTCTAACCTCTCTATAGCTCATTTGGACACTCAATTTCTACCTGTGTCCCCTAGAGCGTGTGCCCCATGTGGTAAATTGCCTGTCTTTATCTAACCTATCAATGCCTCTGAGATTCTTGTATGTGGTGATCATGTCCCCTTTAACTCTTCTGTCTCCCAGTGACGTGAGGTTTAATTCCCGTAGTCTCTCCTCGTAGCTCATATCTCTCAGTTCGGGTACTAGTGTGATGGCAAACCTTTGAACTTTTTCCAGTTTAGTTTTATGCTTGACTAGATATGGACTCCATGCTGGAGCCGCATATTCCAGGATTGGTCTGACATATGTGGTATAGAAAGTTCTGAAAGATTCCTTACACAAGTTTCTAAAGGCCGTTCTTATGTTAGCCAACCTGGCATGTGCTGCTGATGTTATCCGCTTAATATGAGCTTCAGGGGACAGGTCTGGTTTGATATCAATCCCCAGGTCTTTCACTCTCTGACTCTTGAAGTATTTCATCTCCCAAATGATATGGGTGTGTTGTATGGTTTGGCTTCCCTCATACACTACACCTCTCCTCGCCCACTTCTGCCTGTGGCTGAATATTTCTAATTTTGCTTCTTATTTGTCTCATTGTTAAAACACATTCAATGTCAACTTGTGGTTTTGATGTTGCTCGTTTGGCGAGGTCATCCGCCCCCTCGTTGAACACTATTCCAACGAGATGAAATCCACATGAATTTCACTTTGTGACTTTTCAGACGTATCTCATTTATCCTTTTCTTTCAATCCTCAACTATGACCAAGAAGATTGAATTTCGATTGTTTAAGGAATCAAGTGCTCCTCAGCTATCGACAAATAAAGAAACATCTTTTTCGTCTTGACGAACTTCCTCCAAACCAGCCAGAATGTCCTGCAGTTCAGCTTGTGTGGATGTTTTATAATTACCAAGTCAAAGTTTAAGTTTCCTGTCCACAGTTCCAAACTTAGTATTTTCCCTTATTAGGACACACAAGAGGTTCTGGATAGTGGTGACTATCACAACAGGAACGCATAAAGGACACTGTGTGAGGAGCATATGCTAAGCTTTCCAACATTAGAATCACTTTTAAAAAAGCGTGCTACAAAAGGGTCTCCGGAAGGAAGGAATAATCAAGGGAAAGCGCCAAGCCATCACGACTCTTATAGCACTTGTAAGGTGGCAGAATAAGGATTTGCGATGGGACGAGGGAAAGGAATCTCTTCCCAATCTGGGATTGAACGGCGATCTGCTTGAAGCGAGACCGTCGCTCTACCGTCCAGCCGAAGTGACCTGAAAAAACAAGAGCTACAGAGAAAGGCTATAGAGCCCTTAATATACCGAAGCTAGAGGATAGAACAATGTTACGGCCCTCTCGGGACGCAACGGGGTTCTCACTCTGATGTTGTTAGAGTCAGATATAGATATCCGTTCCCAAGCCAGTAGTGGCTATCAAGGGATGAGATCCGTGACGCAATTAACTTAAAGGGAGTAGGGAAAGAAAGATAAGAACTTAATATTATAATTAACACCATCACCGATTATAATATATAAAATAAAAGAGTGCACAAGGGGGAGGGGTATTAACACTTTACAAGGGGATTAATCCACAATCGATGTCTTCTGCTGAAGACGCTGGTGCCGAGTCCTTGGTGCTTTCTTCGTGGCCTCACAACGAAGTCTCCAAAGAAGTTGAGCCTACCCTGGCCACAGGTCAGCCAAAACACAGGTCCACTGGGGGCACCGCCGTGGAGGCCGTCAACC